GACGCCCTCACGCTGGTAGGTGGGGACAGCGACGTTCTGTAGTTGGGAGAGGTTCTTGCTGCTGAGCTTGAGGGGAGCTGCGGGTGTTTGGCGCTGAGATGTGGTGGTGCCAGCGGTAAACTTCTCCTCCTTTCGTTGGGAGGATGTCCTGGGAGGGGCGTTGTAAACGTTGTTGTTCTCAGGTGTCCGGCGGACGGCCTCGGAGCTCTGGAACCTGATGGCAGCAGGGCGGGAGGGCCTAGTGGACTGGAAAACAGCGCGGGCGCGGGCGGCGCGCAGCAGGTTCCTGGGGACTTGAGGAGGCATGGTAGAATAATGTGAGAATGGAATGAGAATACTGGAATACGTGGATGAGAGCAGTGGGAGATACGGTGCTCTAGTATTTATAAAGCGTCAGCCCAATCCTTTTTGTGGGCACATGCGTAGAACCTTGAGCATGGTGCCAAAAAAAGTCGGATTAGGGCCCCTATTTTTTCGGAGGGTCTAGACATGGTGGATTACACAGTATGAGTCGGGACTCGCAGGCTGATAGCCTGTGCTTTGGAAAACGTGGGTTGGCAAAAGGAGGCTGCGGCTTGCATTGTGTTGTGTACGTCGCGGCCTGGTGGTGCGTGCCAAAACGCCAAAACGCCCCAACTGAGCCGCAACACCTGGGCAACTTCACGACACACCCCGAATAGATTCAAACTTTTTGCCCTGACGCGTCTCTACACAAGACCCAGTTTTTAGACTGGACAGGGGTTTCAGACTTTGCGCTCCCGCTTCCGCTCGCAGATGGGGGAGCCACAATTGCGCCGTAGTGCCTGTTGGCAGGCGATTTTGTGCGAGGTGCACAACTATTGCGTGCTAGGTGAAGGATGTTCAAGGGACTACTGAAAAGGCTGTGGCTTGCGTCCACCAGAACCTCACCGCCGCCGGCTTGCGTGGGGGGTGCGGTCCGCCAGGAACACCGACGCTTGGAAGCATGTCGGCTGCGTCGCCGACGCAAGGCTTGCATCTTGCATCGACCAGACCGCGTCTTCGTCCACCTTGGCAATAATGCAACAACCCCAACGTCCATCGTCGTGGCGACTACAACCCGCGCGCATGGCCTCCGCTGTCAGCCTGGCTATCTATGCACCTGGGGTAGCGGGTCGAAGTTCGGGGCTGGGGGTTATCCCGACGCCCATGCGAATTAGACATGTCGAGACCGCCATCGTATCCGTGTTGAGACGATGCCCTCCGCCTCGCCTCCTCGTTTCCAGATTCTTCGATTCTGGATCCCCCCATGACTCGTTCACCGACTTGTCCTTCTGCGAGGATCCTGTCCAACGGCCACCAAAAGGATCTGCGGCCTGCAGCTGAGCCTCATGCATGCTGTTGCACGGCACATCATCCCCGCCATAGCTCTGCGTTGCAGCTATCAGATCGTCCTTAGCCTAAGCCCTAAGCATACCGACCGCCCAACGGAACTTTCTTAGCTTTTCCGCGCTACCTGTACCGCGTCAGTAGCGTCTCAACTGCCACCGGTAGTACTGCTTTCGCACAATCCGAGAGACGACCAGCTGTGGGCGTGGGGATGCGACCTTGCGACGCGGTCCTAATCTCCACCGGAAATCGCAACATCACTAACAAGCCCGAAGATAAGCCTCGCAGCGACCCACGTCCACGGTCCGGGCTGTCATGGTTATTTCCAGGTTCCACAAGCCGCATGTCCTAGAAGGAAGGCAGTAGCGACCTTGCACCTTCTTCCCGGGCAGCCACCATGGAGACCAGCTGGTCCATGCCATGGGGGTAGTCCGGAGAATACCTCTCTCGGCAGAAGAGTTCGATGCGAGCTTAGCGGGCCGGCTAGACCCCAGCTCAGCAATGTACTCATTTGCTTTTCGCCAGGTCATGGCCGCTCGAGACGGTCACCTGGGCATGGTATCAGCGCAAAAGGGCCTGTTCGCGAATCATATGACGGGGATATTGAAACGTGGGCGTTAGTCCGTGGAGGATGCCGCATGCTCTCATGACAACATCTCGATGTGTGCACGCTGCGTGTTACGGTTTTTGCTTTGTTAAGTTTTGGAGGTTCGTTGGGCGAAAGTTAATCAACCCCACGAGTACGCGTATCGTGATCGAACGATCTTGGCGACGCTATTGGAGAACGCGCAAGCCTCTACGGAGTCGGACTCAAAGAGATGGGAGGGACGGAAAGGGGGATGCGAAATGTTTGATTCCAAGTGTTGTTTTCCTCGCGGGTAAGGACACGATGCCGAAGAAGGCATCGTACTGCTACAGAAAATCATGCAACTCTGGCTCGGCATCTTTCACCGCATCCACCGACATGCTCTCTCACAGATCCGACAATAACAATTCCCGCATCTTATCATACTGCGGACTCCCGAGTCCCGAAGCCATATCCCATCCCGGACCCGCTGGGAAGCCATCCATACCGCCTTCCGGATTATATCTCACAACAATGTCATTGAATATCTCCGGATTGTCGTATATGTCCCAGTTCAAAGTGCCAAGTGGTTCTTTGCCATCCGCCAATCGCTCGTCATTGATCATATTGATCATGCTGGCAAAGCCGGGTGCAGAAGCCGACGCACCACTCACAGGTCTCGTGGTATTGAGAATCACTACTGGGTAGTTGACGCCAATGACTGCGACATCTGGGTATGCGCGACCTGAGCGATTATAGCGCCCTTCTCCGTATGCCGGTGCTGAGTTGGAAAGCCAGCCCGAGACAGCGTCGTTCTGGTAGCTTGGGCGGGGAAAGACGTTGGAAAATCCACCGCCGGAAAACGTGGCTGCCATTTCGCCGCCGGCAATGGTACCATCTTGCAATGTTGTGGCGCCGACGCAAAGGACCTATTGGAAATGAGTATAGCTGCAAAATGAGATTGAAAGGACGAATGAGTGGATGCTTACATAAGGGCATGTGCAAGGGAATGATGGTGGGAACTGCTGGTCGGAAGACCCAGCGCCAATATCTCCTGATGCGGCAACGATGGTGACGCCTTGCAACCCCAGCTTCATGTACTCGTGACATTGGCGTTCAAGGTAAGCACGAGAGAGCTGGCTCTCCAAAAAGCTGTATGATATGGAGATGACGTTGCTCATTGGCGCACCTCCGCATGGTCCGTTCTTTGTGCCTTCTCCTTCATCGTTTTCGGGGAATCCCGGGCCAAGGTACTGCTCGTTGCCGCCCGGGTGGGTACAGTATGTAGGATCCTAGCTACGTTAGCTGTTGCTGCGTCACGTGGAAGATAGCAAGATACTCACCAACGCGTCCAGAAATAAATCGAAACCGTTAATAAACTTCGACTGGCCAATTTGATAGAATCGTACCTTTTGAGGGTAGATGATGGAGGTCGAGGCCTGAACGTCCAAAGCAGTCTCACCTGTCTTGTCAGCTTCTGCCAGAGACAGATCTCCGGGTTTGCCACCATAAACGTAAACGGATTCTGGCTCAACATCCAGGGGAATCCGAGGGGACGTCCAGTTTCTCAAGTATTCTTTGAAGTCTGGAAGATAGAGATAGTTACCAAGCCCGAAAATACCAAGCTCATTTCCGGTATTGTTGTGACTGGCAATGGGAACGTTGTACAGAGCGCGGAAGCAATGGACAGTAAAAAAAATGTGACAGGTCGACAGGTCATCCGCACCACCATGGGTAGTGATATGATCAGCAATAGCCACGGGCTTCGTCGCTGTTTGTATATGAGCCATTGGACGTAAGCCGTCGAGCTGTATTGTGGGCGTGATGTAGTCGACATGTTCGCGAACGTGCTGTGGAAGTTTGTAGTCATCGCATGCCATGCGAAGACCGCCGGATTCCTTTTCATGGAAGTTGTAATACTCCGTATGAAATAGGTCCTCAACCTCACCAACAGTGGCTAGGAACATGATCCAATCCCGTCCTACGTACTGTCAGTTCTCATTATACTCGGACACGATAGGTAATGACATACTAGCTGAGAACGTGATGCGACTGTCCTCGACTCCAGCTGCATGGAGCCAGTCGAGAGTCGCGTTTGTGGTTGTTGGATGAGGCTCAAATGTACTGTGGACTCGCTCAGCCGTCCAGCGCTTTCCTATATGATATGTAAGTATATCACATAAACGACGAGTTCAGGTTTACGTTACGGAAGTTGGGTGAGGTTCGATTATGCATATCTTGGAGTGAGAGTTCGCCGTGCTTCAAGTTCTGCTGCTTCAGCGCGATTCGCACCGGCAGTACTGCATCCCTTGATGCACGTGAGTCTCTATCCCAACCTATCGGGTCCGCCTCTCGCTTCTCGTGGACGACGTGAGAGCCAACTGGGAAAGCGGCAGCTATGGTGCTGAGCCAAAGGAGGAACACTACTAGGAAGCGCATCGTTTCCAAGATGTACTGGGTCTGTGTTAAGTTGTGTAATGTTCTGTAAATCTGTCTCAGTCTGTGTGACTTTGTATGAGTTGTGATGAGTTTGAAGAAGAAACGAAGGTGAAAGTGCAATTCATCTTATACTACTCCAGGTGATTTTTTTCATGCTGATTGTAATACTGTACCTTGGTTTACAAGATCGACTACCATAGTACTACGATGGCAAGTTGTGAATGCCTTGTTGGCGATTGGTCATTGCAATACCACGGTACCCCTAAGCGAAAAGCTGGATAGCCATATCTTACGGTGTGTATCCAAAAAAAGTTGATAGGGCTACATTGCCCTAATATGTCTCAAACCTTACGTTGTTGTAGTAATGTAGGCTCCAGAGCACCTGTTCATCCATGGTTATGGTCACGCTTATGGTCAGAGCCCACAACGAGACACCTCAAAAGTTTGAACGAAAAAGTTATTAGATAATAGAATGATTAGCACGACCACGATCTCTGGCCGGGGCAACGTACCCGCTGAAGCGATAATAGATTCATTACAATAACGCTATGTACGAGCTGACCACTGCTCTGTTGACGCCCAACAATGTATGCCAACATAATGTACCCATAGGCACGATGGTCTGACCCAAATCAGTATATACCGAAGTTTAGCAGCAACCGCCCCAGCCCTGTTGCTTTCCCTTTTTACTCGCGTCATTCAGGTTGACGCCTGCCCTATTCGCCCCGCCTCCCGGCCCCTTGACTCCACTCCTTCGATCGTTCAAGTCGTACTTGCCAGCTTCTATATTTTGGTATATCCGCTCTGCGACTTCCAAAAAGGCTTGTTCCACACCCTCTCCGCTCTTGGCGCTCGTCTCGACGTACTGCATGACGCCATTCGCTTTACACCACTCCTCAGCCTCTTCTTTTGTGACTTGTCGCTTGTTCGCGGCGTCCGAATCAGTTACGGTAGACGACCCCGCGAGATCAGACTTGTTGCCCACGAGCACCACGACGATGCCTTCCTCGGCGATTTGCCGCAAGTCGTGCAACCATGACGTGGCGGAGAGGAACGTGTTCTTCCGCGATATATCGAATACTAGCAGCGCGCCCGATGCGCCCCGGAAATAACTTCTCGTGATGCTCTTGTACGTCTCCTGACCTGCTGTATCCCATAGCGAAAGCTTCATGTGCTTTTGCTCCTGCTTTTGTTTCGACGGCGATACGGGCGCTTGTGCTTGTGAGGATTTGGAGGGGTTGTTGATGCTCAGGGAATGCGATGCTGGTGGGCCGACAGGAACGATGCGCGATCCGAACTCTACGCCGATAGTTACGTCGTGGTGTGGTGAGAAGCGGCCTTCGCAGAGGCGAACTGTTAGCTGGGAGGCGTTAGCATGGAGGCCCTGGGTAACGGGGATGGTGTCGCATACACTTGATTTACCACATCCTGAATCGCCTAACGATACGATCTTCGCTATGTAGTCCCACGGCTGCGCCATGGTGCTTTGTGACGCCGTGTGGCTGGTGTAGCAGTCGACCCGAGGTGCAGGCTTAGGGCGGTGGTCACAGCAAATCCAGTAGAGGTAGATGTATATGTATAGGAAGACGGTATTTATTGTTCAGAATGTATGTAGAATAAAGTAGTTCGCAAGTCGAAGCTTTGGGTGTGTTTGACAGGAAGCCAGTTGGACGATAGTGAGCGAGTGAGATAGGTCAGGGTCCCGGCCATGCGGTCATAGCTCGGCAGCTGCTTGAGCCACAGTTGGAGGATGCAACCCATGGCAAACGTGAAAAGCATGTCGCAACTTACTTTGCGCAAGCTTTGGCCGCATCCATCTTGCTTTTCTCTGTAGCTTTGATTGATTGCCACTATGAAACATGAGGCTGACAAACATGAGATCGGAGTGCCTTGACTCGGACGGCCACTACGAAGGCAAAATTACTTCGAAAAGAGCACGACTAGAAGAAGATAAAATTGTCTGCAGACCCGTAGAGACAAGTTTACCGAATGCTTTGCATGTGAGGTGGAGCAGTTCTGGGGGCTAGGAAATAGCGCGTGCCTTGCATGTTCACGAGGTACGTGAGCCCGACAATCGATAACCCGACGCGCTGGCTTGGCACGATGATGAGATGAGCGACCATCACTCCAGCGCAGCCGGCCGGCCACTCAACTCACTCACCACCTAGGCGGGCTAGAGCTCCCTGCTGTCCTATTGCTACCGCCCTACCACCGCCATCTCTACCATCTCCAGCTGGCCACTGCGCACTCTGCCGGCCTCCAGCTGCATGTCTCTTAGGCTGCGTCATCCGCGGCTGCCTCTTGTACTCCGGTACCCTTGCGCTCGACCGCCTCACGACCGCTGACCTCGCACCTGAGCCACCTTCGCTTCGGGACTCTCCTCGCGATAGATATACCTGGCCGCCATCGCCGAGCTCAATAGGCACATATACATCTATCGCGCACTTTATCTATCATGTTCTCTGAATGTAAGTGGACCTGGTGCCTTATCGGGTACATGTGACAGATCCGCCGCCTGTGTCTTGAGCAGCTTATGGACTCGCGTGACTGACGTGCGTGCTCCCCAGATGCATCCAAGTTCCTCTCCCAGTCTCAGTCGCGGCTGTCACTGGGCCAGCCCGAGCCGACTTCAACCCGCAACGCCCCCGACAGGCAGCGCCCGTCCTCGCGCGCCTCCCAAGCTTACCTCCAGCGTCGCAACATGCCCAACCCATACAACTCGCAGGCCATGAGCCGCTTTGCCTTCGCTTCACGAACATCCAACGCGCCCGCGCCACTCTTCTACTCCGCAACCGATGACTTTCGCGAGGAGGACGACCATGCCGAGCATGACAGGGACCTAGCAGACCAATACGCGCTGCAACGCTCGCGGCGGCAGTTTGGCGCAAGCAATCTATCCGAGTCATCTGAAGTCGATGATGAACATGGCCAAAGATCCGATCATACGATAGGTGCGGACAGGGACGAGAATGAAGCTCCCGGCTATGGTCTGGGGAGAGGGATTAAGAGCTCCTGGAAGGGCGACAAGCCAGCACGTGGGAGATCGACCGTTATCAACAACCCAGAAGACGAGGAAAGAGAGTCAAGTGTACCGCTCTCTGAGACTACAGATCGCAGCAGCAGAGGGAGAGGCCACCTCGTAGATGTGGAGCTTGATTCCACGGATCGGGGGAGCATAGAAGAGTTGAACCGAGACGAGCTCCTGGGTCACCAGGACGAACCACCGCCACCCTTCCAACAGTTTCGCAACATGCCGAGGCCGAAGCGCGGTCGCAGCCCACTACGAAACACTCTACCGATACCGCAGGAAACAGACGAAGACACTCTGCTCGAACACCCACGCCCAATAAGTCCGGATCGCCAGACCGTTCCCGACGACGTACCAGAAAACCCCACATCGGCGCCACGACACAACTTCTTTTGGGCTGAGCTCTTCATAATCGTCCAGTGTGCCATCTTTGGCACATGGATCATCTCTTTTCTCCAAGAGTCGCCACCGAACAAGAAGAACCCACTGGGCGACACAATATATACTGTCCTGCATTCGTCGTTCCACCTCATTGGTGTGTACACACTGGTTTCGGTCATCGTCGGAGTTCTATGGCTCTCGCTACTTCGGTCCTTCGCTCGGCCCTTGGTGCAGTTAATGTTACTGGCGGTACCAGTGATATCGTTTTCCTTCTTTGTATACCCTTTCGCATCAAGCTTCAAAGGGTCATGGCATGGCGATAGCGTACAAGACCGGCTGATGCGCTGGCTTTCGTTTGGGCCCTTATGCTTCGCTGGGTTCTGGGTGTACACCATCTTCAAGGCACGACATTCTTTAGACAAAGCTACAGGCATGTTGGAGTTCTCAAGTGAGATCCTGAGAGCGCAATTCCCACTGCTACTCGTGGGTATTGCAACACTAGCTGCTGTGATACTCTGGGCGTGGATATGGATCCTCATGTTCACACGTCTATTCCTTGGCGGCCATTTTGCTAGCAACAAGTCGCGATGGATCATTGATGCTAGTACGTGGTGGCTTGGTGTTGTATTCTTCTTGGACTTTTTCTGGGGTTTGGCGGTCATTGCGGGTGTGCAACGCGCCACGACGGCAGCCACGGTATCTCAATGGTACTTCCACCGCAACAGCGTACCTGCACCCGCGGCTAGAACGGTGGTCCAAGCCTCACTCAGTCACGCGACCTACACCATGGCCGGCACGATCTGTTTGTCAACACTGATCTCACTCCTGGTCCGCCTTCCCCTCATCGTACTTCCAAGGCGACTGGCGGGTATGATTGGCATGTGCGCATATTCAGTCGTGCCGACGCCTATCGCTGCATTGACGAATCCGCTTACCCTGACCTACGCTTCCATCCACGGTGTGCCTCTCAATCAAGCAGCGCGCGGTCTGTCACAGATGAATTTCATCTCCGCTGCTTCGCCAACCACAACTCTCGGCCCATCCTCATTCAAGGACCATGGCCGGCCATCAATTCAATCATACCGTCTGGCAAAATTGCTTCTCCACGCCATCCGCTGGGTCATAACGTTGTCTCTTGGTTTCGGTGGATGGGTCTCAACTGCACGCATGCTCCAAGTCGGCGGGTCTGTACCATACAAGGGCAGTCTATACGCATACGTCGTGGGTCTCATCAGCGCGGCAATCGGCTGGGGCGCTCTAGGCGCTATGGAAGGAGTTCTGGGTGGTATCCTGGACGCAGTGCTTGTGTGCTGGGGTAGTGAGGTAGGAAGCGACGGGCAAGGAGAGGCTCGGTACTGTGTTGACGCCGGACGGTTGTTCGGCAATGAGGTCACTGGCCAAGGTCGAGGAAGATACGAAGTCTAGAGCATGTTTTTCGTTTGCATCATTGGCGTTTCAGCACCAGAAGAACCTGGATAACAGATACGGTTATGGCGCTTGGGTATACCTATCGTTCATCCTTTTCAAATCGCTTTTGCTATCGGCATTAGCATTCGTATAGTTTTATTCAACTGAGATTGTTACGAAACTGTCCTGCGTATGCTACGTTTTCGAATCACAGATTCTGCTACAGGTATTACCCACATGAGCGGTCGCACGTGAGGCACGGCACCCAAACTGAATTGCTCTCGTCATCTATCTTAGACCTAGCTCTGGGTTCGGGAATGGGCGAGGAATGAATGACGAGCTTGTGTGACGTTCAATCGCCCATGCACATGTGAGTATTGGGCCAAAAGCACAGAGCTGCTTAGTCAAGGTCATCGTACGAGGCGCACGAGTACCTGCTATGCCAGTTATAAGAGTGGGAAAATGCGCAATTCTCGTGTATGGCCGTACACTCTTGCGTGGCAGATCAAGACCATAAAGATCAAGCATACGTGTCATATCTTGAGAAGACGATGTACTTGCTAAACCAAAATCGATTATCGAGGAACGTTTCATGCGTCAAATCTTATGCTGAGCGCGTTTGGCTCAGGGGATGGTCCTTGTCTCTATGTCTCCTAGTGCCTTCGCACCAGTGTACAGCAGACTCATAGTAGGAAGCATCGACACCTAGAATGAAGTGACTATTGAGAAGACAGTCATATCATTAACAGTATAAAAGGCCGGCGGTGGTTTTTGGAAGTATCTTCTTTCTTCATCAACCAGCAAACTCAACAATTCCCCAGACTCAATCAACTCAGCAACTCTATACACGGAGAATCAACGTTACAACAATATGGCTTCACCTGAGAAAGATTACTCGCCCCAGCCGTTCACGGAAGATCATCTGCTTTGGGTGCTGAAAATGGGTGTTGACCGCAACAACCAGTCAGCCAGTCACGAAAACATTCAGCTGGTGGGTGTGTACTGCAAATCAGCGAACGACGAGAAGACTCTACAACAGGACTTGTACGATTATTGTCACGGCGACAAGGTTGCCGAACAAAACGTGGTCAAGCACCTGCCACAAAACAACCAATCTAAGGCCAAGGTGGTCGATTGCGCTGTCGAGGACTCTGCCAATAGAGTTGCTTTCTACATCAAATTCATAACGGAAAAGAACGCTGTTGTCGCAGAAAAGCTAAGGGGGTTAGCCGGATCGGACTCTGTGGCTTTGTACACAGTGAGGGGACGATCTATCAAAACACTAGCCAAGGCAGACAGTCCCAAAGGCATCGGTGAAGATATTTATGTCGAAGATAACAATAATGGAGGCGATGACAATAACGAAGAGGAAATGGTCGACGACGATGAGGAAATGAGTGACGATGAAGAAATGGTCGACGAGGAACCGCCTATCCAAATAGATGCAATCAAACTGCTCGGATCACCATATCTCAATGAGATTGTTTACACCGGCGGAATTGAGTACTATATTGGAACCGTCATCAAGACTTTCCTCGATAAAAAAGCTGCCATTTTGGAGATCAGGAAGCAGACTGAACCAACGCCTGGTGAACCTGAGTATAGGGTTGGACCCGCGGATGCTAAAGGAGTTATTGTGGCTATGACGGCGGGAAATGGTAATAACTATTTCAAGAATATGTCTTGGGTCACGAAGGTGGTTGCGAGTGGGTCTAAGCGGGCGGATGATTACACTCTCTCTTTTAAGGACTAATGAGGAACCGCACCATGTGCTTGTATAGGCTACAGCGGTAGATGTATTAAATGTGGACTCCTATCAAAACTTTAATGTGCAAGCAACAAATGAAAGTCTGTATGTGATGTCTGGTATATATTTGTAGATGACGCGCGGTGGCTTCATTCGGCTAGCGCGAAGGCTCGCCAACTAGCTTAATCCATCCCTGACAGTTCCGACGTCCATCCCAACTACACCATGACCGAACCAAATTTACAACATCACGATGCACACTCACGACGTCATTTCCATCATCTAATCGGCGACAGCTACACCAACAGCATACATCGGATCGAGAGATACCGAAAGCCCCACCGGACTGCACACATTCGGGAGTGAACAATGCGTTTCATCGGGACGCTGTGGGTACCGCTGCCGTTGAGCCATGAATCTTCTACCTGCGAGGCTGGAGTCAGCTACCACTTCTTCACACTGTCACTTCGATATTTGAATCATAGCCCTGACTAATGCGTGCGTACGACGGCAAAGCGGCTGCCTCGGATGTACCCAACACGGTTCCGTCATGCAAACAAAGAAAACACGTCTGTGCCTGACAGTGATGTGACACATCTGCTGAGTCGAGCGGACACGATGAGCATTGACCTAGATCTAGGTGTAAGTTTGTGCGACGCGGGTTGAAGCCCGAATCTTTGAGAGCCGGATCGACACCATGGGTTCACTTATAGCAACCAAACATCATTTCAACGACTGATTAGGCTCGTAATTCCTGGGAAACATGGCTTAAGATCGTTTCAAATAGGTGTAGCCACAGTAAAAGATTATCTACGTTGCCGTACGTTCGGCCTGGACCATGTCCTGTACAAACTATGTAGCACGTGCAGTGAGTTGCGAGACTAGCATATGACTACTGACACTTTACCAGTCATGATATGACTCCATCATGAGTTCGAGTAGTAGCAGACTCATAGTTTGGAGAAGTATAAAAAGCGTAGATATCTTAGGAGATCTCACTACAACTCATTCACATAACTGAAGCCTACTTCACCATAGTCTTCCATCAAACTACTTTGTAATACGTCTTCAAAACGAGAGCTAGCCGAGTGTCAAGCTTATATATCCTCAAGATGGCCAGTCAGCAAGCATCGGTAGCCAATGCCCCATCTTTTATCATTATCGACCACGTGGGACGACCATTGAACAAAATGTCCCTCACTGGAGCCTTCCGCATTGGCGCAGACGACCGAGAGAGTGAGAAGAAGCGCTTTGAACAACATATCACCGAACAATACCCCGAAGCCAACAATCATGCCGCTGAGACGGGCGAAGAATTCCGAAATCGTATCCATCGCGCTTGGGACAATCTTTGCAATGCGCCCGCTTCCGTTCAGGAACTTGCACTTTGGTCTGACGAAGAAAAGAAATTCCAGGACAATCAGCTACAAATCAGTTTGAAGCAACAATTCCAGGAGGGCCGGGGGCTTGTAGAAGAAATGCAAAGGCTAGTCGAAGTTGGAAAGACCCGGCCCCGAGAGATCTTCAAAAGGGAACAACCGGACTTGAAATTGTACACTGTTTCTGTCAAGATAGTACCGGAAGATAAGACGCTCTATCCCGATTATTCGAATTTCCCGACTGCTGCCGCGTGGGCTCAAAGAGATGTGCGTATGGATCGTTACCGCGAGTTCAAGTTTCAAGGAATGCGAAATGAAAGCGTGGAGCTCTTCTTGCAGAAGGAGGCTGCTATCAGTTACGCGAAACAGCTGAGATGCGGGCATGAGCTGGAAATATTCGATATAGATCCTAAGCTGGTCGATCGGGTGTCAAAGGAGGGTTCTCTGCAACAGCATCGGGCGATCAATGAGGCTAGTCCTAAGACATTGGGTGAGCCTCGGAGGGTGATCATGCTCAACCATACCCTTGTGTACGTTGTATCAGCATCACAGGTCTAGCCAGCTGGAAATATGAGACTCCGGAATACTGGCCGGTCGAGATGTACGAATGGGAAATTCTGGAGGGATCATGATTCATAAATAAAACATGTTTCTATGCTTGCACTACCATATGACAGGATGCATTCGACCTTACAGAATAGTGATATGGGCTTCATAGCAAGTGATAGAGTTCCATTTCGAACACATGCGAGCTAGACCAAGTACCTTCTACTTGTCTTGGTTTCATCCATGCATGCAACAAAAACGACAAACGCAGTCTGCTGAGAGCCCAAGGCTCTGGCGGTAGGGTGCGCTAACGATACCAAGGTACTCGGTAAACGGCTCGGAGTGGCACAGACAGAAGCTGAAAAGGTAGCTTGGTGACTTGCTTCCCGTCGTCCATGAAATGCAAGACGAAATCACTGCATTGCATCGTGCATTTTGGAAAAGAGTTCGTCATATTGCCTGTGTTCGCTGCTGGAAAGAGAGATCTGTGAGTGGCATCTCGGATACGTACAAACGAAGAAAAGAATCACTTTACTATCGTTTAATAACGTGTGAAGTATTACAGACTGTAATTGTTGAACTTGCTGACGACGTTCATGGCTCAGGGATGATGAAAGCGGATGCGTACCTAGCTGAATCTCCAGTAGGTTTCTGTGTTGGGGAGGTATTACGGAGGTCTGTGTGCGCGTCGGTGCGTGCCCAGGTGACTATCAAAGTTGAGTCATCACCTGGATAACGATATGTATGAGTAATATTCGCAAGTCGGCTTTTAATTTCCACTTTTGCACCTATCGTACACTCGGACAAGTTCAGCAACCTTCATACCCCCACAGGAACGGCATGACCTTCTCGTCAAATGGCTGTCAACAAAGACCTCAACCCAGACAACCTTGGAAGAAACTCGTTAACTTAGAGGCAACCTACCGCACGAAGACCGATCTAATCCGGCCCTACTCGATAACCGACCACGGTCTTGACGCAATACGGAAGCGTCTCTTCAAACTCTGCAAACTTAACATCGAAGGAATGAACAAATTCCTACTTGCAAATATCAGAGATGACACCAACTAATTGGACTTCAACTTACAAGCTCTCAACAAAGGTCTGACTTTGACGAGCGATCAAAACGGCTTACCTTTTTTGGTCCGCAGCTTGCTATCCTCCAGCGCTGAAGTTGTGAGACACATCCGCAAAGAGGAAGAAACAGGAAAGAAAGCGGTGTTACACATTGCTTACTCGTGCAGCATGCCCCCAAAACTGTTGATGAGCTGGCATGAATGCTTTGCGCCATACGGAAAGGCGAAGGACATACTGGTTTGGCCTTGCAAGCAGGGATGGAATGGCGTTGACACTCAGTTGAGCAGCTATCGCGCTCAAGCCTCGTTATTGTTAAAAGCAGGCGAAGAAATGAGGAAGCTAAGCCAAGCCATGCCAGACATGCCAGACATGGTGGAATGGCTTGACGAACATATGAGTGTGCGGCAGGTCATGGTAGTTCTGAAGGTTGTCGCGAACGATGCGAATGGGTAGTTGGCAATTCTCGTGGGGGAAGCCGTCCTAATGATACTACCTTTGAGTCAGCGAAGCGGTGTCATATTGAAGTGACTGTGGCAATGACCCAATCCATGACTGGGAGTGTTGCAACTTATTGCCAGTGACTCACGTCGTTGATATATAAACTGAGAAGCCTCTGCTTCTCAAACCCTCATAACACAAACATCAAAGACACGAAAGTACCTCACAATGTCAAACTCCCCTTCCACAGCGGCAACGACGAGCCTGTCCGGTAACGATTACTTCTGGGTGCTGCTCCACAACTTCGACGGACCGCGAGGACAGCACGGGCATCGGTTCCTTGGTATCTTTGGAAATGAGGATTCTGACAAAGTCTATATGAAAGAATTTCTACATTGGCTCTGCGAGAGCAACGAGAAACTCATCCAGGCCAAGCAGGAGATCGACTCTACCATAGAGGAGTGTTATCTCGGCGAGGACGAAAGGTATCAGATCAAACTCGTACCAGATGGCAAACCGGCCGAGAACACGAAGCAGTTAGCTTTCGAGATCCGCAAAGGATGTGGAGTACAATCAGGCATTGCCAAAAGACTCAAGAACGAGGCTCCACGCCCACTATACCAGTGTCGATCCATCATCTTCAGGCCCCACCCCACAACGATATATCCAAACTCGAGGCAGGATCGGGAAAAGTGGACAGGGCGTTCTGTGCTGCCTGGCATGAAGAATTTCAATCACGGAGAGGATATCGTTACTTATAGGTTTGCAAAAAACGCTATGGAGTACGCGCGCTCGAAAATCGTGAATTCACTGGGTAATGCGGGCGTGAGTAAGGTCGAAGCAGAGTATATGCACGGCGGGTGGATCGGTATTGTGCTGGACGGTGAACATGTGAAGATGATGGTAGTTGTGAATAAGTGGGAATGGGACGATTACGTTAAGGAATGGCGTGTGGGGTCGATGAATGGTCATGAAGAGACAGACTTAGATAGTTGTTCTGAGTCCGAAGAAACAGACTCAGAGAGCTCTTCTGAGCATGAAGAAACAGACTCACAGGGTGATTCGGGGTATGAAGGGACAGACTCACAAAGTTCGTCTAGGTGAACGCAGCCTATCTCTGCATAGATGTTGAAATCAATGTATATATAGCTCAGATTGCTTCCGTGGTGCATTGCGTGTGCTTCTGCGATGAACTTACACCGTGCAGGACATTCGGACAACTGTTTAGTAACGATATGGACATCGTGATTCGAAAAGGAATGTGATTGATAGAAGCTCACGTCGAAGATGTCCGGTCGGGGTGCCTGCGTCATGGCTCGGTTGGTGGCTAGCGCGAGTCGACGCGTAGTGAAGCGGGACCCGATCAACACGGCTACTGCAGCCCAAACACGACTCGGCGCAGCGAACAAGCAACACCAAAGCGCCCCAGGCTCCATGGAGTGCCCTGCCCGCCAACATGTCCTCCCGCAACGTGCCCACGATGAAGTCGCTGTCCGGCGCTGATCGCCGCTCCGTCAATGCCAACTACACGTCGACTGCGCGACCCCGCGTCGCTTCTGGAGAGGAACTCGACCGCCGCAGCTCCACGACGGCTGCGTCACATGCCAGGAAACAGTCAGCACCCATGCGCGCAACAGGCGCGACTTCGGGCGAGCGTCGCGTAGAGAAGAAGGAGGTGCGCGAGCGGGAGACGGAGATCAGGCGAACAAAGAGCCCGTTGAAGCATGCCAGTGAAAGCAGGGCGAATGCGCGAAGCCGCTCAGAGAAACTCCCGCGCGACGTCGACCGACCCTCACGCAGCGCCGCCTCGCAAAAGTCTATCCCCGAAGAGCCCCAGATGCCGTGGGAACCGCAGGCTTCTTTGATACCACACACGACCGCCCCGCTGGCGACGCGCATCTCGATACCTCCGCTCGCATCCACCGCGCCTATATCGCTGCAACCTACACCGCTTGCAAAATTATCGCTAGAAGCGCAAGAGAAGGCTATACTGGAGGATCTGTTGTTTGTGTTCATGGGATTTGAGGGACAGTACATTCGATTCGGCGATGGCTACAATCCTCACGAAGAGAAGGAACGTCTGGTAGGGCCACAGTTTCGCCTGATGCCCGGCCTGGACCCTAGTCTGAGGGATTTGACCAAGTCGATGCTGAAGACTGCGACACACTACATTGCCGTCGAGACATGCGTCGAAGTGCTCAGTCGGGAAGAGTACGGTGCCGTGAACCATGCGTTGTGTGCGGCTGTACGACGGTTGCTCAAGGACTACCTCATACTTGTCGCCCAACTCGAGCACCAGCTGCTGACGAACGAGTCCTTCACTCTACACGTATTGAGCCTGCATACCAAACAGACTAGCCACATGCTCTTCCAGCTCTACACCACCGGGATCGAGCTGCTGAAAGCTAACGGCATCCTGGAAGACGAGAAAGACGAAGACTCGGCCGATGATGACAGCAACGACTTTGAAAACATCTTGGAGTCGTTGCGCGAAGGAGGAAACGCCGCCAAGAAGCTTTGCAAAGGTGGAAGCGTGCTCGGACTTATCACCAAGCGGCTATCGTCCATGTCGGGAGATCCAGCGGCTCGCGCACTACTGACTACACTACTACGAGAGGCTAGCAGACCGTATATGGCGATGTTGAACGAGTGGCTACATCACGGCGGCATCAAGGACCCGCACTCTGAGTTCCTGATCAAAGAGCAGAGAAGCATCAAGCGAGAAAGATTAGACCAGGATTACACAGACGAGTACTGGGAGAAACGATACACAATACGCGATGCACTTGTACCCCCACAGCTTGAAGCCGTCAAAGACAAGGTGCTCCTGGCAGGAAAGTACCTCAATGTCGTAAGGGAGTGCGGAGGCGTCGACGTTAGTAAAGTCGTGCAAGACGCGCCTACCAGCTTCGACGATCCGCGCTTCCTAGACAACGTCAACTCCTCATACGCATACGCAAACTCATCCCTCCTCAATCTGCTTCTCACTACACACCAACTGCCGGCACGGTTACGTTCACTAAAGCACTACTTCTTCCTCGATCGCTCCGACTTTTTCACCTACTTCCTCGAGATGAGCGAGCTTGAGCTCAAGAAACCAGCAAAGCATGTTAACGTCGGCAAGCTGCAGTCGCTATTGGATCTCGCCACTCGACATGCTGGATCAGTCGCTGTGGAAGACCCATACAAGGAGGATATTAAGGTTCAGATTAACGATACTGGACTCACGAACTGGCTCATGAAGATTGTCAATGTCCAGGGTCTCGACCAAGATGCTGCCACCGCTACGTTATCCAACTACACACCTGCGAATTCGGCGCCGATCACCGACGACACAAACATCACTGGATACCAAGCGCTAGTCTTTGACTACGCCATGCCCTTCCCGCTTTCGTTGGTCGTCAGCAGAGTTACTCTCACTCGTTACCAATTACTCTTCCGATATCTTCTGAGTTTGAAGCACCTCGAAACGGATCTAGCCAAATGCTGGGGTGAACAGGGCAAGAACGCCGCCTGGAAACACCGGTCCAAAAATCCGCGTATCGAACAGTGGAAGCGCCGAGCGTGGACACTGCGAGCACGCATGCTGGTCTTCGTCCAACAACTAACCTACTACTGCACATCGGAGGTCATTGAGCCCAACTGGGCATCCTTGATGTCGCGGATAAGCGAGGAGAAGAAGCAAGACGCAAGGGCCAAGGGCAAGGCAACAGAGGATGAGAGCGGTGGACCTCAAGTGAAGCGTACTGTGGATGAGCTGATGCAGGACCATGTTGACTTCCTCGCAACTTGCTTGAAGGAATGCATGCTTACTAACAGTAAGCTGCTTCGAGTAAGTCAAACAATACTATTACAGCCTGTATGGCTGCTAATCACCTTCAGATCAACAACAAAATCATGTCAACATGCAGCATGTTCGCATCCTTCACCTACTCTCTCTCCCGCTACCTCGTCACCGGCGATCCGGACCTAGTCGCCCAGGTCAACGCTTCTTTCGCTCCTCCTCCCGCTAAAAATTCGAAGAATCCTGCTGCTACACTAGTCGCTTCCACACACCGACCCACAACGCAGTTCGTATACGACCCCCAGCGCGTCGACAAAATGTTCGACATGCTAGCCAAGTACGAGGAGAACTTCACCCGGCATCTTAAGATCCTGCTGGATACGCTTAACTACCTCGCTGCTACCGAGACAGTGGTCTTTCTGAGTCTTTGCGCAAGGTTGACGAGTGCTGGAGAAGGCTTGAGTGGCTTTCAGGTACCGATGGGTATGGAGGGTATCGCCTAGTAGGCTTCGGCCTTGTGGGCATCAGGCGTTGTTTCATGCATTGCATTGTTCTGGGTTATTGGTATGGGTTAGGGATTCAGTCTGCAAGGCGCCAAGCGAGCGATACCATAGTTGTTTGGAATGAGACGCAACGAATTACGGCCATAAGCTTCTCTAGTCTTGACAAGTGCAGCATCGCGCGATGTGTTCGGTGTATGAACGAGGCATTCGCTCATATTCGACGTAGTTGTCAGTGTCTAAACTACACGAACGCTTCTAGTACGTCTTGAATGGACACCCCTTGTCAGCACTCGAGCTCTTTGTCTTCTCTTTAACCAACTTCGTAGTGAAATCCATCAACTGCTCGCCCAGCTTCTCATTGTTCGCCAAGTCACTACCCGGTTCCCGTATCGCAGGCGGGCAAATGTACTCGCCAGTACCCTCTGTCTTGGTCGCCGCATACATGGTGCTTACGCAACCCTCAAACTGCGTCTTCTTGAACGGCGCCATACCAACGCTCATAGCGTAGCCACCCAACGGGTAGGGCTCGTGGATCATGTCGACCGACTGCCGTGTCTCGACGAAACCGGGGTGTGTGGCGTTGGACAAGATGTTGGGGTGCGAGGTAGAGAGGTGACGAGCCAGGTAGCGTGCGTAGAGGATGGAAGCGAGTTTTGTGCGGCCGTACTGTCCCATAGCGCCGAGATCTTGGTTGAGCTCCTCGAGAGACTCAAACTTGACGTCCTTGGGCGCGCTCTCGTGTGCGTTGGATCCGAGTTGTACAAGACGGACCTTGTTGCCCTTGTCGGCTGTCGACTTGATCAAAGGCAGCAGGTGGGAGGTCAGAACTACATGGCCCATGTGGTTGATTGCCATGTGGAGATCAACACCGTTCTTCGCGAGCTGGTATGTCATGATACCTCTTGCGGCGTTGTTGATCAGGATATCAATTCGGTCTGTCTTCTTGGCAATTTCGAAAGCGACCTTGCCGGTCGCTTCCCAGTCCGAAAGATCGCACTTCATCCATTCGACTCTGCTGGCCTTGTCCTCGCCCATCTCTTCCTTGATGGCTTTGAGTGCATCGTCGATGATATCTTCGCTCATGGAGATGATGAAGAGCTTCTTGATGTTGTGTGAGAGGAGGGTGTGTGTGCATCCGTAACCAATTCCTTCTGAGCCACCGGTCACAACGGCGACCTTGCCGCTGAGATCGGGCACTTCCTCGAGCGAGAATCGCTGGTCTGCGGGTGCGAGATCATGGGCGCCAGATACGACTTTGCCGAGGTTCTCGGCAATGGCGTTCTTTACTGACTGCATGGTGGATGATGTTTCAACTGGGCCTTTGAAGCGGTCGTTGTTGTTCGGAGGTGTTGATGAATAAGCTCTGGATGTAGTCGAAGTGATCCTAGCAGCGGATACGCGTGGTAAGGATGATGTAGTTACAAAAAACGACTTGCAGCAACGCAGGGAGACGGCACCTCTAAATAACTTAGTAGACTGCATGGTTACAGCATGTGTCACAGGACAGCAGCAACCATCGTATTAGCACAAGATCTGAGGTCATGGTATACCGTGACGAGCCGCCTTCCGCGGAGCGAAAGCAGCCAATGCCATTTTGTCTTGATGTCAGCACTTTTTCCTTTTGGCGCGTTCCTGGATGTTGTGGAGCTTGCATCGGGAGCGGATCGTTGATGATCTCGTCATGACGCGTTGATGGACGCCTGCATGGCCGGCGTGTTGGTGAGGCTGGAGGTCTGGAACTATGACGTGTTGGGTATAGTGGGGTGGGTGTTATCGATAACGGCGCGAGTTCCGAGGTCAGCTTCACGCGACGTTGAAGGTCTCCTAATCGAGTAGACGAGAGCATCGTCGCTACCCTCATCCACGACACTATGGTAGGAACGCTCAACGGATACAGGGATCTCAGGTATGTATATCCTCAATTGGAGTAAGTGCGTCCGCAGAAAGACAGCAAACGCAATGGCTCCTTCTCAAAACCGCAAGCTGTGTAGTGAATGCGAGCGATTGGAAAGCGACGCAAACCCAAACATTGCTGCGGATTACCAAAACATCAATACCACCGTTTTATTGCTGTCAGCTGCAAACCCTCACCGACCGAGAATGTTCAAAGCAAGACCGGGAAAGAGCACTAACATGCGGCAGACTGCGATTTCACATTATCTTCACCCAGACCGGGCCGCCATGATCTCATCAGCAGACCAAGCCGCCTCAGCCGCGCGTGAGCAGAACGCCGCCAACCCACCGGTATTCGAAAAGCCGCCCACGAGCACGACGCCTCTCCCGCCCGATGTGGCAGCCGCTCGCAAAGCCCGCATGAACGCCGACTTGATCGGTGCCTTCAAGAGCACTTGCCCGCCCGGCACAACCCCCTACATAACAGGTGTCGGATTGTATACCCACGTTGAAGGCGCACCACTCCAGTGTCCAATGTACCCCGACGAGAACCCGCAGCCACAGCCCGAATTCTTCCCGATTAGAATACCAGAAGGTCGAGGCAACGAGAGCTCACAACCGGACGAAGAGGTCCAGAAGCTATGGAATGAACTCGAGCTTGCTGTCGAAACAGAAGAAGAATTGATTGCTACAACCGAACTTGGGCTTAAGGAGCTCAGGAAGAGGTATCGTGCTCTTCCTCCTCCTAAAAACTCGCGGTCGCCGGTACAGCGCGGTCAGCAGCAGCCGGAGGTGACGCAGGGAGATACAGCAGCTCAGGGTGGTACAACAACGAGCGCGGGAAGTATGAGCGCTCCGAGCGCGCCCACCAAACCGCGCGGCCAGTCGCTAGCTAGCGTAATGTCTACTCTTGCGGTAGGAAATGAGAGTTCGGGCAAAGGAGATACCGAGGTGGAGCGAGGCAGAACGACAACCACTAGATCTACTACGGGCTTCTACGCCCCCGATCCACGCAGACAGGGACGATGAGGGCGCGATAGGATGATGGCAACTCCACCACAAAGCACACGGGGTCATAACCGAAACTGGCTATCAGACTGACATTCTTCTTGGTCTGCCCTAATTTCCCCTGCACCGTTAGTGTCAGTCTATCATGGTTTTGACGCACTGGACTTCGAGGCTGTGTGTATGTTAAACCCATCGCATTGATGCTCTCATGCTTCCAAGCTAGGCAAATCCTTCATATACATGATTGAGATGCTAAAGCAATATACGTACCTCGCTACATCCATCGCGCCAAAGACTACCCTTCCGCACAGAGACACCTCATTCTCCGACTCATGTTACCTCTTCATAACCAACACTTACCCCATCAGGATCCACATGCGCCACACGCATACCTGTTCCATAGCTAAGAATAAACCAATTCTCATTCCCCGCCCTCAGCCCGCGTCGTATCCACGAGGCGTTGCGCCTCTCATATCTGACTATGATGATGAAGAGCAGTACTATCAAAGCGACGGCTAGCGCCATCATCACAGTGAAGAAATGGTCGATGGCATTTGGTTCAAGATCGCGCGGAGTGGGGGCCATGCTGCACGCACTTGAACTGGGATCGGACGATGTGAAAGGGGGAGTGAAATGATGGGTTGACTGAGCTCGATATCGATCTGTTTTTGAGACATTGTGGTGGCGTTGTTATGACAAACTGCCGTGCCGACGTGTTCGTATAGTGCGAATGTAGGAGATTGATAGAGGCTTCGAGAGTATTGTGAAGGAAGACAGCAAAACCGGGGGATGACGGTTTGTCTATTTCGTAGAAGAGCCTGTACTGTCAGTGAAAGCAAGCTCACGCGTCTAGTGAAAGATTCGTGTTCTCGTTAGTTCCACGGGCATTCTTTAAATGTCCACCAGCGGGCTAGACACACAGTCCTCAACCCAGTTTTACAATGTCTCTTCTCTGGATGCGCGCGTCATCTCATGGCCTATTGAAGGTAATGCTCGAATCGGCAAAGCAGCTACTGCCAAACATCGGAGCCCTCATACTCGCGTTCTTAGTGTGGCTCGAGCTGAAGACGGGAGTTGTCCTTGCCTCCTTCGCCCTTTACGATAAACATCCTCACTGTATCCAAATCCTATTTCTGGCAATCAGTATCGGAGTCGTGTACAAGCTCGCCCGCTTCATCCTCCGGCTGCAAAGTCCGCCAAAGCCCGCTGATCCATTCAGATCGGCGCCATACAGACACAGACGCGAAGAGACCCCCATGTTTCCACCAGGTATGGAATTCAACTGGGTCCAGGAACGATGGAAGAAAGAGGGTATGGAGAAGCCATTCGTGGAAGAGCGGGTATTTGGAGCAAGAAGACCGGATGAGGTTCCTCCAGTGCGAAGACCGCTGTTCAGTGTTCCTACAAGCACTTTACCGAGGCCGCAGTCAAAGAGACCGCCAGTGAATGCGGCGTTTGGGAAGGCTGGTTGGGGCTAGGATTTGACAGCAAGGTGCGGCTGTTTTGGGGCATGCGCAAGGTCCATTTAGTACACGGCGGAATTTTTGCAGATCAAGAAGTCGCTATACTACTGCAATGTTTGGAACTTTGGGAGGTTATCACTGAAGAGCGTTGAAAGAATGCAGTTGTTGTCACAGCAACTGCGTGGCAAATCATAGCCTAGAGTCTAACCTAAGAAACAAAGTGGATGGGAGACGGCCTGATCGTGTTGTTAGCATTCGTCCTGTTTGGCTAAGTTTCGTCACATGAGACATGAACAAGAGTTGAGAAATAACTGATTCACTCAATCGAGAGGACCGTGCAGTAATCACGCGCCGATACATCACAACAAACGCTCGCGGTCGCCTATAACTTCCAGCCACTTGATCGTTTGAGTCGGACTCCCCACCACTTGATCTGATCGCCCAGAACCAAGCAGTGCCTTACAACACCATGCCAGACTTTCTTATCAATCAAGAGCCGCCTACCCGTCTCGAGCGCTTCGTCCAGGACACTATCGACTCATCCAAAGGTTTCTTCGCCTATCTCTTCCGTGGAAGCTGTCTAGAATACTGGGTGTTTGACCCTAATGGTCAGGCTTACACCCTCTTCGCGACGGCTCTGCTAGGCGCCTCGATCTGGCTTCTCATCCTGAACCAGAACTCGAAGACGACCGCAGCTTCACAGCTGGATAAGCACCGGCCAGAGAGTGGAGTGGCGGAAGCAATGGATATCGACGGCGAGGAATACCTAGGCGATGAATATCAACCATCCACTCCGCGTCCCTCGTCTTATCCCCGCGAAGAGACCCCCATCATGCGCAAGCTAGCGCCTCCCGGCCACCGTCCTGTCAACGCACACATCGAAAGCTCACCCTTCCGAGTGAAGCAACCTCTCGGACCTCGCGTTAGCCAATTCGTATCGTCTGACCATCCGGCTCCCTCTCCACTCAACCCAAGGGTCTCCAAGGCTTTCTCGACTAGGCCTCTACAGCGCAACAACTTCTCGGATCTTGCTCGAGACGCTCCCATGGCCAAACAGTCCCTTCACGACCTGAACATGTTGAGCGTAGATGAAACACGAAAGGAGTGGGAGACGGAGAAGCCTGTTGTTGCTCATTGGTCAAATGAGGGAATGCAGCGTTATGGTCGCGCGTCGTTGAGGCGCGAGCTGGACAACAAATATCTTTCGTAAGCTCGTCACGTTCTGAGATTCATCCGGCGTGCCTCGTCGCGGCTTCCCTATCCGCAATTGGGTTTCGGCGCTCTGGGTCTAGGGAAGGTGGCATGCGCAGGTGAGAGAAAGTGCGATAGCGATAGCGATGGAGGAAGCCAGGGCCGACGGATGGGGAAGTGTCTGCCTGCGTCATTGGTGACACAATCAACACGTGAGGGTAGATAAACAAGCGAATGTGCATCCACTCGACTCCACAACACCTCTCCTTCTCTCTCTTTTCCTTCACCTTGATCGAGTGACAGTCTCGCAACAACAACCTGCGATGGCTGCATGCACGCGCTGCGATGAGCCAACTAACCTCGATTGCCATGGCGATCTCATACTCATGCCTTATGCTGGCCTATCAAGCAAACTAGGCCTATGCAGAAGGTGCCGTTGGAAGGGACGGAATGACCAGTGGGAGTCTGCTCCGGATTGGGAAGCTCTCTTATGTCTGTGAGTAATGCTGTAGAAGCTGCATGTGAGATGTAAACTGACGCCAATAACTAACTTCAGGAACCTGGACTTCCTCCATGGGAACATCGACGTCAATCCAGGCCATCTCGGTCCTCTCGACAAAGAGACTGCGCCAATATTACGTGGGCTAATCGAACTACATGAATACGGCATTCTCACATGCGGCTCTCAACCATTCGAGAAGTCCAGCACGTTCCTTGTCGGGAAGGGCTGGTATCAGAAGCGGCAACGCCCCTATGTGCACTTTCTGCTACCGACATTGCATCGAGATATCTCCATCGACTGTGTTGATGCTTTCATCGAGAGGCTCTTCGCTGACAACAGTATTCTTGTGACGGTGCACTCAGAATGCGATGAGTACGGCGGACCAGGCGACTCGATGCGGAGCAAAGTAGTCACCCCACAAACCTCTGGCCGTAGTCGCTCGACCTATCAGTTTCGTACAAACGCCCACTGGAACAAAGAGGCCGTTACGATAGACCGACTAGCGAAAACTTCAAGAGGGCTATTGACGAAAGCCTGGGAAGAGTGCACCTTCTTCCCAGACACCTCGATCGACTTCTTGAGCCCTTACACGAGTCTGTCCGGCAGCGCAAACGACAACCGGACTTTTGAGGCTACCATAGTCATGAAGCCATTGGCGATCGGGGTGATGGCGCGGAAGTGGGGTGCGAAGCTCGACTTGCAAGACATCCTGCAGCAGCATTGTGAAGAAGCGGGCATACAGCGCGTCTTCCCATGGAGGGCCATAGATGCTGCGGATGCTCTGAATGGTGGAAACCGATGGTCTCACACGTTTTGTGACGATCAAGACGCGTGAGGATACAGAGTTCTGTGGATGAAAAGGTTCCGGAGTCGGAAGATGAACAGGTCTTGGTAATGGTTTCATCAACACAGCACCTTTTGTCGCTACCCCCTCTCACTAAGGCGATTGAGAACGTAATACAATAATTTATGAGTCCCTACAACTTGAATGATTACATGCATATGCTACGTTCTTGTTTCACGTATAAGAAGAGAAGACGTTAGGACTGGAATTGGTACCTGCCTAAAGCGGTAAAGCGCATGTAAACCTCAAGGGCGCAGTTCCGACCCATACTTTACGGTTCTAAAGTATCTCGAACATTCCTTTGGCTGTTAGGCCCTCCATAATTTCAAGTGACTCAATCGAAAATCTGTCGCAGCAGGCGAGCATAAAGAAGGTCGCATGTGCGGTAGATTTTCTAGGTATACAGCGTGCGCAATCCTCTTCCGCGGCACTACAACACAAACAACAAAACGGGCATCGCCAACCCGCCACACCTTCGATAAAACCACCACGAATTTCATCTCTGATACCTCTCGAACCATCACTAAGATGGCAGACCCTCTATCCCAAAGAACAGACCCCCTCTACCAAAAAGACGGCCAAAAACATACCCACACCTCGTCCATAACCTCAATCCACGCACTATCATCCCTATCCCCAGAAACCCAATCCCTCTTCAAACAACCACCAGAAACCGAACCCTTTGTCCTAACCACCCCCTCAACAATCTTCCACGCCCAAGGCGGCGGCCAGCCCTCCGATGTTGGAACCATCTCCACCAGCGGCACCACATTCCATGTGCACCAAGTCCGCAAAGTCGATCCCGCAATCCTGCACATGGGCGTCTTCTCTCCCTCAGACAAGAAATTCCAAGAAAGCGGAGAAGCAGAAGCAGAGCAGAAAATCGACACAGCCAAACGGCACCTACACTCCCGGATCCACACCGCAGGCCACGTCATCGGTCTCGCAGTCGCGCATCTAAAAACCACTGGGTCCATCGCTCCCGAAGTCGTCGACGGAAAAGCGTCGCACTACCCCGGTGCCGCATTTGTAGAGTTTTCGGGTCTCATCCCGGGAGACAAGAAAGCTGTGATTCAGGCCAGAGTCGATGAGATGGTAGCCGCGGACATGGACGTCAAGATTCATTTCTGGGATGAGGAAAAGGCGAAGAAGGAGTGTACGGGGGTTATGGAGACGCTGAAAGGAGACGAAGAGGATGGGGTCAGGGTTGTGGAGATAGGGAGTGAGGGGAGTTATCCGTGTGGCGGGACGCATGTGCAGAAGTTGAAGGAGTGTGGGAGGGTTGTTTTGAGGAATATTAAGAGGCAGAAGGGGATTACTAAGGTTAGCTATGAGGTACAGGATGCTTGATGGGGTTCGGTGGTTATGTTGTGCACATTGTGTGCATTGCGAATATATTCAGCTTTGTTCCTTGCGTGGAAATGCCCACCACTTTTCCCATCTACCTGGTATCATGTCCTATCCTAAATCCTAGAAAGCCGGCTTCACTATTTTACCTGCGCCTAACCCCGCGTGCTAGCATGCGCACCTGCCCTCTGATATGTTCTAAAGTGCCTCTTGAATATGGCTAGCTCAAGTAAGCAGCCAAAGCTTGCTTCGAAACATCGTCCAAACGTTCTTGCACAATCTTGACGATACGGCCGCCGTGACGGGCATCCGCATCTTTCAAATATTCAGCCACCCAAGCCTTCACATCCGTGATGTCCGGGAAGGGATCGCGTGGAGCCTTCTTGCAGGTGTTCAGCTGGGTGAAGCCGACACCAAAACCGAGCTCGTCAACATCGGCATCGGGGATGATGTCATCTGCCGAGGTGGGCATAGGCGGGTTAACCAGTAGCTCGATCAAGCGCTGTGTGGTAAGGGCCCAACCCTTGGGGTAACGGCTAACGAAAGCTTCCGCATCGCCCAGAGACTTGGTGAACGACACAACTGCGGTCTTGCGGTCGGTTGGGCGGGCAAGCTTCTGGGTGTCGGGAAGAATGACAGTCAAGTAAATAGGCTTGAAGATGCTGTTGCGAAGTTAGCAATTGATGCCTACAATTTGGAGAGTCTTTCACTTACTCATTCTGAACCTTATCAGACTCTTTGATGAAGAAGTCGGCACCAAGCCCCTTGTCCAGTCGCGCTGAAACGAAGTGGTAGAACGCAATGAAGCGCTGCTGGAAGTTCTCTGTCTTCATGTTTGACAGTCTTGTGAGCATTAGCTGGAGGATGGTGACAAAGTAAGGCTGTAGCGCATCCGCTGGGATGTGCGCAACGACAGCTTCAATCAGCTCGAACGAGTATGTCTCGTGAGCCTTGCTAGTGACCAGCTTCTGGAAAATACCCAGAATAGGCTCCAATTGGCTGCTTGCCACGATGTTTTGTGCGTCACGAGCAACCATTGCACTCAGCAGTCGGGCTAACGCAGGTACGTTACCACGCTGCTCCCAGACCGCACCCTTGAGGATAATGCCGAATACACCCCTGTAGTATTCGCTCAGTTGGCCTGAAGGGTTTGCCTCTAGCAGCGCGGAGAAGATTTGGAATATGTACGGAGAGAACTCCTCCACGTTGTTCTGCAAGCAGGTTGCAAACGGCTCGTAAAGCTTTTCCTCGAAGAACTGAGGATGCTTCGGGGCACAGAAGCGGACAAGTGCTCCTATACCTTCGAACATGTAGTACTGGAAGCGAGGGTTGCTAGGGTTGTGCCTTATGACCTTGACGATGTTGATGAAGCTTTGAAGAATCGACTCGCAGATGGGCAGCACATCATCGCGTATGAAAATGAGTACGCGCATAACGCACTTCATCAGGAACTCGTTTTCCTGAATCTTTTCCGGGACAGAGCTCATTGTGATAAGCTTGAACAAGTGCGTCAACAAGTCTTTCGATGAGCCAACAACGTCTGACTTTGGTATTATGGGTTGCCGTTTGTCATCTGTCATGTACAGAGCACGCTCGACAGCGATGGCAGCGTATGTGTGGATGACGTAATTGTCATTGCCCAATTGGTTCACGAGCAGGGGGAAAGCAGCGCGCCAAAGGTCTGGTGAGAGCAGGCTGCGGAAGACGTACAGGAACTTGATGGCATCAACCTTCAAGATGGGCGATACGTTCTGAGCCTGAAGGTCAGCGGCGACGTGTGTCTGGAAGAACTCGAAAATGTTGACGTTCTCGTTGACGCTCATGATACCTTGGCCAGCGGTAGCGGTTCCCTTGGCAGCAATGGCGGTGAAGAGGTAGACTGCGGTATCTTTTGACTTCCAGTTGTTTTGGGGGTCGGCCGCATAGTTTTGAAGATAGGCGTCGATGTACTTCTGGGAAGTAGTCGTGACAAGTCCCTCGAAGCGGTCCATGAGTTTACGCAGGAAGTTGGTGGCAGCACGTCGACGCGTATCGTTGTCGGACCCCTCCAGATCTCTCCTGATGAACTCAATCGGCTCATCTTCGAACAGTTCCACATCAGACTCGCGCAGAGTAAGGTTTGGCAAGATGACCTTCTCGATGATCTGGACTAGGACAGACTCGTTGTTGAAGGCTTCGGCGTGTTGTGTGGATGCAACGGCGGTGAGAAACTGTAGCGCCTTGCTGACTACGATGTCATACTTGGTCTCGAGGCCGACCGACATGAGGAAACTCCAGGTGCTCTCGATGAAGGGACCCAGGTGCGACCCAAACGCGTCCTCGTACTTCTGAATGTAGAGCATGAGCACCTCAAAGATGCCCGCGCGTACGTACTCTTGCGGCCCCGACTCTGTGTCATCGTCGGTGTGTAGGGCGGGGTTGTCGAAGACGAGGTACTTGTGGAGAAGGCCTGAGATGATTCCGATGTGGTCTTCGAAGACGGGGGGCAGATCCTGGCAAGAAAGATCGTAGAACAGCTTGACTAGGAGATCTAGCGTTGTGAAGGCGCTCTTGAGGACCTGGGGGTTGCCTTGGGAGTTTGTGATGAGGGCGTCGGTGTTCTCGAGCAGCTGGAGGAAGGGAGTGCCGAATTTGGACAGGACGTGGTTGATCTCGGTGAAGAGGTCGTCGGAGCGGAACAGCGGCCGCCAGCGCTTGAAGATGGAGTGTGCGACTTGTAGCACGCCGTTGTTGACGACGGTGTTGTCCGGTGTGAGGCGCGAGACGAGGTCGTCGACTAGGGTGTCCCATCGCTGCCAGAAGTCGCTGTCCGCAATGGCGCTAATGGCTTCACCGAGCTGTGCCTGCAGACTTGCGGGTACGGATACCATGAGGCCGATGAGTTCCCTCTTGATGGCCACGACTTCGGCCTCTGGCAGCTTGTAGTTGCCATCCTCGTCGACCCAATTCCGCTTTACGAAGTTTTTGAAGTAGAGGGCGGCCGACAGTCGGGTCGTCTGGGGGTTCGCGTCCGAGGCGACGATCTGGAGGAGGGAGAGGGAGAAGCCGGGTTTCTTCTGCTCTTCGCTGATTGCGGCCTCCGCTGTAAAAAGTTAGCATTGCATGCTGCGTGGTGTGGGGGATGGAGGGGCAAGATGCTAGCCTGGATTCCAGACGAATGCGCATATACTGAGGTATACAGAGGCTAGTCTTTCTCTATCCTGCGTACGCGCATTCTCTTTCCAGAAATGCAGGCTACACCACATGAGCACTGCGGGAAACACTGCTACGCACCTTGCTTGTTCTGCCGCGGGTCGAGCGACGCCTGGAGCAGCTGCGAGAGGGTAGCGATATCAGCAGCCATGGTGACGGGCGTAGGGGTGCAGATGTAGTGGACGGGTGGCTGGTGGACAAAGAGCTCGACTGTTTGGCCGATGGTTGCTGTTTGGGGTGTCCCACTTGGGGCGCTAGGGCCTGTCTCTGTGTGCAGGGATCAGGGCCATGACCCCAGCCCTGCCCGGCGACGACTGCTCTCGATTTCTGGATGCCGTGCTGCTGTCTAGCAAGCTGCAAGGTCGAGTCCGCTACGACGCTGCCTTCCCGCCAGGCGTGACCCCTTCCTCTCCTCCTCCACCCCCAGATGGGCTCCCCCAGCCGCCCCGCCT